TTGATTGATTGATTGATTGATTGATTGATTGATTGATTGATTGATTGATTGATTGATTGATTGATTGATTGATTGATTGATTGATTGATTGATTGATTGATTGATTGATTGAGCTCGATCTTTCACCTCATTAAAGACGAGATCTTTTTCATGGTCAAGGTCATGCTCAAGGTTGTTCAAGTCAATGGACTTAGTCCGACCGATTACATCATGGTAAACATAATCAGCCTCCATCAGCGTCACATCTACATTAGAATGAGTAAATGAATGCATGAGATGAATAAATGAATGGAAGAATGGGAGCGACTGGGACGACATAGACGGCTATGCATTAATTAACCAACCATCGACCAGATGAACGAATGAAGTAAACAAAAAGCCTTAGAAACTGAGAACTGGGAAATAGAACAAATGAATGGATGAATACATGAATGAATGGAAGCTGAATTGATGAAATACGAAACAAAATTATGGACGAATGCATAAATGGAACAAATTAATAAATGAAAATGGAATGAATGTCGAAAATAGTCACATCTGTACGTACTCATTACGTTGTTTAGCTCGGGATCCATGTAGAATTGAAAAGTTTCGTTCCATGTGGGATTATTATCGTTATTGATCACTGTTGTCTGTCGTTTACCGCTCGGCGACTGTGGCAGATGTAATTTCACGAAAGGATCTGGCGTATCAGCTGAAATACAAATGTAAATGTTTTACTACTAATTATTACTGTCATCATTATGTTCAATATTTTTTTGCGAAAGAAATCAGGGGCGAATCCAGCTAACGATGCAGTAGTTCCTCCCCTCACCCCTCTTAAATTTGTACCTCATTTGTGATTTTTGAAAAGTGAACTCCAGTGAGCCCCTAGCCTGCTAACAGGTGTTCCTGCTGGGGGGCCGAGAGAGAATGGGGAGGAGAGGAACGCCTGTTAGCAGGCTAGTGAGCCCCATCAATCTGGGATCCAACCCTGGAAATTTTAACTTTTCCGCACTATTTCATAATTCATTGTTATGTACGCGATTACTTGTGGTTAATGTGAATGCGTACCTAAATCATTCCACCATCCTTGCGTGACATTCTCTCCGCGCAAAACCGTCACGCTAACAACCAAACACTTTCGACTTGCTGCCTAAGAAAACGACACCATTTCATGAGAATTGGTGGTAATGTTGTGTCCGTTGTCATCTTCTGTTCATTCTTGATTATGGCATTACGTACAACAGCAGTGTTTGGGGGGGGGGGGGGGGGGGGGGGGGGGGATGAGGGAGCTTGAGAAATGGAGGTTAAGTCGCGCATTGATATAGCACTGATAAATAATCAAACATCTGATTGTGTTCTAAAACATTTTGTCCATGATTGTAAGTTTCTTGTGTTACTTGAAGAAACCCCCTTCCCACAGAACTCGCTAGTTAGTCCACACAGACAAAAATCATTGATATGTTTGTTTTTATATTTTGTAAAGCGTATCACTTACTGTAACATATAAACATAATTTCTTTTTTTTACAGCAATTTTAGTTTATGGTTTCAGTTTGTATCCCATATGCATCAACTTGGTATTGGAAGGATATAAGCTTAATATTATTATAATATTATTTGCTATGGCTTAAAATCGATTTTGTATGAGCTTATATTATTAACTATAATTTGGGATTATAATATGTGAATTGGGGATCGCCTGGCTCTTCTAATTTTAAAAAGACCAAAGCTTGATTATACGAAAGATAATTACTTTTTTCCAACAGACAAATCCTAACCAGACGATAAAATT